GAGAAAGAAGGAGTCAACACAAATGACATTAAAAAAATATGGGCAGAAGTAATAGCAGAAAACTTCCCAAATATGAGGAAACAATCTGACATTCAGGTACAGTATTTATTCTGTAATTATAAGTTGTACTGGTTGCTCCTCCTTTATAAAATCAGCATAAGTCAGGTGGCACACACCTGCATTCCCAGCTACTGGAGAGTCTAAAGCAGGAGAATCAGAAATTCAAGTCTAACATAGGCAATATGGTGAGATTCTTATCTCAAAAAAGAAAATCTATAGGAAACTTTAACATTTAGTGAGTTCCATTACAAATGAAAAGATAGACAAAAGCACACAAAATAAAGCCTCCTGTTAAGCTCACTTCCATCTAAAAGTGAGGAGAAAAGTAAGCTGTATATCATGAGTCACTCGTGTCACATTGTGCATCTAACACAAAGAAATGCACAACCTGTGGCAAAGACAGAGACGCATGCTGGTAAAGCACTTCCTAGGACAGAAAGCGCTGTTGTTTGCTGCATTTTTGCTACTGAGCCTGAACGAGTCTTGTAAGCTGCGTGCTAATAAGTCTTTTAGATGTTCAAGGGATCTTAGAGCTCCATGTGTCTATTCTCACTGTGTTTCCAAAGACAGACAATCCCGTTGTGGAAAGTGAAGCCTCCCTGTCTCTCTCTCCCCAGATCCCTGCGACCCAACAGTAGTTTGTTACCTCTGTCCTAGAAAGTGCTTTACCAGCGTGCGTCTCTGTCTTTGCCACAGGTTGTGCATTTCTTTGTGTTAGATGCACAATGTGACACGAGTGACTCATGATATGCAGCTTACTTTTTTCCTCACTTTTAGATGGGACTGAGATTATCAGGAGGCTTTATTTTATGTGTGAATTATTTACTTAGGTTGTTTGCCAGTATTTCCACTTTCATTTTTAGAATATTGTTATATATGTTTGCAAATTTCTTGAACTCTGTTCTTTCTCTTTTTACTTTGATTGTGATTTTCTTCACCATAAAAAATTCTGTCTATTAAGCAAATATTTCCAACTTTTCTTTTATTCA